GAGCGGCAGCATGATGGCTCAGCAGGTGCTGCAGGACACCATGGTGGAGACCTACCACCACCAGTTCACCTCCTCGGCCCTGCCCTTTGCCGCCTCCCAGCACCCCGAACTGATGGAGATCAAATGTGAGGAGGTGAACTCTGACGAGCACAGCTTGACCCCAGAGCCCCCGCCATCCATGTCCTACCAGCAGGGCTCCCCTGAAGAGCACGAGATGGAGAGAGCTTTCCTGGAGACCACCCAGAACGACTCTCCCATCTCCAGGGTGAAGATTCCCATGGAAGCCAGTGTTTCACCCTCAGGTAGGGACAGCCTTTTCCATTCCCACGTGAGGTTTCTGCCCCTTTTACCAGAAAGACAGAATTTCTTGTTCTGGTGCAGAGACAGACACCTGGTTTTCATGCTGACCTTTGTATCCTTATTTCATCACTTCCCAAAAGGCTTTAAAGTGGAAGGCTGGTGTCTGCATTCATGGTCTTCTGGCCATTCTCAAAGTATGTCTGGCTGCAGGTGAATAAAATCTGAAATTACCCTGCTAGGGTGAATATTGTGGATGGTATCCAAAGGGCTGGGATTTGTGCTGTATTTCTGCATAGAGTGCTGACAGGACTTACATGATTGAAAAAGGAAATAAAAATCATGTGCTTTTTGGTATCTTTTCAAGATCCCCCAGGCTGTGTGTGGGCCTCATGCCGAATTGTATGAGGAGACCCCCTTCTGCCATGGCTATAAACCTGCAGGTGAAACTTCCCTTGTGTGCTTTTGGAATGTTTTCCAGGTGGAATCTTTCAGGATGCTCAGCAACAAAGAATACTTGGGAGTAATTGTTGCCTGGCTTTCTAGGCTGTTTGTTAGGACTTTTTAGGAGCTGTTTGTGAAAGTCACTGGCAGAGACAGTGTGTCTGTGTACAAGAGATGAGACTCCTGTGCTGAAAGTGCTGGTGGCCGTTGCTTGGCTGCCAGAAGGGTCCAGCCTGGAAATCCCAAGGATTTCAATCTAGGCTCGGACAGACTGATGGCAGAGCACGGCATGATGAGGAGGAAGAGGGACTATAACCAGCGTGAGGTTAACATCTGAGATCAGGGAGAGGTGCTACATCCTCTTCGTGGTGGTGGCCATGTAGTTAGTCAGTCCAGTGGTTAGTTCAGGTGAATACAGAGGATGGGGCTGGCGACAGAACAGGTTGCCCGGTGTGTGAAGTGAAAACCAAACTTCCACAAAGTTTGCTGAAATCAAGGTGTCGCTGACAGGGTTTGTTCTGGCCGTCCTGTGATAAACCCCACGGCAGCCCGGGGGCTGTTTCCCGGGGAAGGCAGCACGTGGTGCCCACACCACCTTCCTCCCCAGGTGCTCATTCTCCCCTCTCCCCCGGCGCCTCCGCAGGTTTCGGCGAGCCCGCCATGGCGAACTCCTCCCGGCTGCAGAGCGCGGTTCCCCGGCCCGGCTTCTCCGCCCTGCACCGCCTGAGGAAGAAGCGGCGGGGGCAGCGGGCGAAGGACCCCCTGGACGACCTGCTGCTGAAGACCCTGTCGTCGCAGCGGGCCCTGGAGGAGCGTTTCCTG